AATGGAAGGCTCGGCAGCCTTTGTGAGGAAAGTCATGTTGACATATCCACATATTTACACACATCTCTATCTCAACGTCACATCTTTCTGCTGCTTAGATACACTTGCATTCAATGAGGAACCCTCCTTCACTCTCACTACTGCCTACTTCACTAGGCTCGCGAGTGCGCGCATACATGCACATGCTTCACTCGGGTACATCCTATACCTTCCATTTTTCCATTGGGGAAAATACCGTATAACAAAAGAGCCAATCAGGTAGGGTGTAGTCAAGAGTCCGGTTGCCAAAAGGCCGGTTGCCAAGAGTCAGTCCAGGGGGTGCAAGGCTGACCCCCTCTCTCTCTCCCTCCCGCCCTCAACAAGAACAAAGTGTCGGCCAGGCCCCAGGCACCAGGTCTGGGTAATTTTCCAGCCGCTGTGTTAAAACGCTCCACAAATCAGGTCGGTTGACGTAGCCTCCGCCCACCTGGCGTTGGTCGATATTACCTGCCCGCCCTCCGACAACCCCACCCCTCCCCGCCCAACCTTCACTCCAACCCCCATGTACCAGCCCACACCCCCCCACACACACCCTCCGTATCACTCCCACAGACTTCCTACAACATCCACACACAGACACACACACTGGTTTTCTCCTTCAAATCCCCACTTTCAAACACCACAAAATAATTACGCTAAGAGATACAGAGACTTTGAAGGCAGACACTACTACCTCTCACACACACTATCTCCATCATTATCTACTTTTTTTGCGTGAGTTAGTGGGTTTGAGGCCAACGCTAACGACATTATGATTAGCACGAACAAGCCTGGGAGTGACTGGGCAAGAATCGTGACCACTCCATTGCTTGTTCTTAACTAGAGACGCAGTTGGTCTGGCTTCGTGAATAACTACAGTCAGGGAGAGAAGAAAAGAGTAAGTGAGTGAGTGAGTGTGTGTGTGTGTGTGTGTGTGTGTGTGTGTGTGTGTGTGTGTGTGTGTGTGTGTGTGTGTGTGTGTGTGTGTGTGTGTTTGTTTTGATGCGAACTAATTTGTTTGGGTGCTATTTTCTTTGATACTGTTGGGTGATTACATGCACAATATTGTTTTAATGGTAAATTTGAAGTGTTTGTGATTTCTTTTTTCAAAGATTATTTAATAGCAAATTGGAAATACTTGTTTCAGAGTTTATTTGGAAATAGATTTTGTCGGAAAATCCGACACCATTTAACTAATCATACAGATAATAGCTGTGTTGTATAAACAAGTTACCCATAGAAAACGTAACTTGGTAGTGGAATTACCGTCTATAGAAAACGGGATATCATCACCACATACTATTATAATCACCAGCTATTCTGCTGGGAATGTTCTTAAATACATAGTCTTTGGACTTTACCATCATCAAAACAATCTTATAAACTTAACTTAATATCAATATGAAAAGTAGAGTTAAATGTGACCTTCTATCACTTTCTGACATGTGGACATTGTAAGCAGGCGTCAGAGTGAGGAAGGAGGGCAGGCCAGTGTGTATTGAGACCGGAGGCTCACACGGGAGCAAATTCGGATCCTGTTAAATTTACTTGGAGTAGTGTTATGGAAAACCAAAGGTGTACCATTTTTCAACACGCTGTATACATATCAAGTTAAGTGTTCTTTCCGAAACCCATTATCTATCATTAGTGGCCATTAATGTCATTATATAGCGGTGACCCGGTTAGAACGCGAAATCGCCTCATACTAAAGGTAATTAAGCCAGGTCTTCATGTTCCAGTACAGTTTTCTCTGAAATACTTGGCATATATAGGATTCTGGCTTCACAGATAGCGCACTTTTGACAGGTCAAGACGAGGAAGCAAGATTTGTTGCACCAGTTACTGGGTGATATGGAAGCTACCTCAAAGAGGATAATTTGGTGTCTACACCCTAGTTATACCTGGTGGACTAACCTGCTGTACTATAAGATAAGGAACCTTTTCATGTATGTAGTTACTGTAGTTTGATTGGCTGCATATCTATTAATTTAATAAACCCCCTAATGTGTAGAGGATCGATGTGAGGATTAAGAGATTATTGCAGAAATACAGTCCACTTATCATTATACAAATTGCTATCGAAGTATATAAATTAACGTAATATAAATTCATATAAATTAAATAAATATATAAATCTCACAGGTCGGTTCCCACAGATTTTATTTTAATGTGAATCATTCTTTAGCAGTGATGTCCTGGCGCTGGCCAGCAAGGACCCCACGGAGGCATAGAGAGGTTTTTATTGTCTGCTGCTGGAGATTGCGCCTCTATGGGCAATAGATGTGTTCATAATGTTCCTTTTCTGAACAGAGGACAGTGTTTCGAGCCTTGTGTAAAGCCACACTGTAGACTCTACTGAAGGGGAAATTATGCTCGTCAAAGCTGTCTCAAAATTAGTAGTAAAGAGGGCTAAATGCTTTATTCTTTTTATTTTTATGTATTTAACATCCCCCCCCTCCTCGCTGCTTGTTGCTTCATTCTCTCTCTCTCTCTCTCTCTCTCTCTCTCTCAGTATTCACCTCAGTTCCATAACTTCTCAGTGCGTCTTCCATTTGCTTTTTTTCCCCATGATTTATTGTTTAATATAACGTGTGAAGGAAGGAGGGAAGGTAGTGTGCGTGTGGAGGTGCGCGCACACCCGTTCCCCCCCCTATCACCACACACATTCACATTCCGTTTAGGCAGTTATGTGGTGGAGGCAAACTCCATACAGAGTTCCCAATGTACATGTGATATAGGCTCAGGAACCTGTACACCGGTTAATTGACAGTTGAGAAGCGGGACCAAAGAGCTGAAGCTCAACCCCCGCAAGCACAACTATGTGAGTAGTACGTACACACACACACACACACACACACACACACACACACACACACCATTGTACTCACATAATTGTACTTGCCGAGGACGAGTTTCGGCTTATCCCGTGATAAATGTATAACTTTCAGGGCCTATTGGACTCTGTTATGTCGACATAAAAAGCTGTGAATGGGGTTTACTTCCAAAACGTCAATGCATTTATGCATTCCATCTGTTCCCTTTCTTGACAGTGAAACAAATTCTTTCTAATGTCTCTGGTTCATCTGCGTACTTAGTTTCCCTCTGTATTCCTTGTTCGTGTACTACCCATAGTAAATAGTCTCTTCTTGTCTCCTACCCCTATCTCCCCCCCCCCCCTTCCCAGAGTATTTTGTATATTGTGATCATATTGCCCGAAACGCTGTGCATATTAGTGGCTTTAGGCATAGTATGTATTATAACTATATAGAAATCCAACATTCTGTCTGGAAATCATTTTGTATGTATGTACACCTGAATAAACATTATTATTATTATTATTATTATTATTATTATATTTGTCCTGTTTTCTCTCTCTTCCCGTGACGTCAGGTTTAACTTTAGTCTTTTCTCTTACTCATGCCCGTCACCTCTGGGACTAGTCTGGTAGCTTACCATTAAATTTTTCCCAGCTTTGTGTTATGTTGTGTTTAACGAGGTGAGGTGGTTGACTCCATGCTGGTGCCGCGAAATCTACAATTCTTCCGATGTGACTGCAATACAACGTCCTGAACGAATCGATCTCTCTTACTTTGAACCTGAAACATGAGTGTTTCTCTCCCTTGTCTATGGGAGAGAAGATCCGACGCTTGGGCCTCGCTTCCTTCTGACACCTGGTGCTTTTATATTTCAAGATGTTAACCTTTTGGTCGCTCTTGCTTTTTAAACTGTGGATGAAGTTGTCTTCGCAACTACTTCATTCAGTGACATTTACTTGCTTATACCTCGAACACTGTTTATGTAGGATAAACGTAAATGTATGTAGACTTAGATTTAGCATTTTAAAAGCATTACACTCACCTTCTGTGGTTGATTGTTGAAATATATCACTTCACTATATATCTAACAGGCCTCTAACTCTGTCCACGGAGGACACAAGAAAATAGATATATATGCTGGTTACCACTGTAAATGCATGGCCACGTCTGTGGCAGAAAAAAAAGCTTATCATTAATGCCTCATACGAGTGTTTTCCTACATTTAAGTTCATTTACGTTTATAGCTCCCTTTTATCCCATTACTCCAGAATTGGTAAAGGCTATAAATAAGAAAACTTTCCTTATTAAGACTACTCAATAACTCGAACGATAAGAGCTTCGTCCTCGCAGGCATGGGGGTTCAGGGTTCGAGTCTCCTAGAACCACCAATCTTCCTCGACATTCTCCAGTTCCTCTCAATGCCTTCCCCAAGATGAGGATTCCTTACTGGTGCTGCGTCCTCAATACAAATTAAAAACAGTGGAGGTCTGAGGATCGACCGTTTAGGGACCCCCCTCCCATATTTGCTCCTTGACTTCCTGGTTCCTCTCCATCAGGTACTCTCTTAACCAGACCAGAATCATTCCAGTTATCCCGGCTTACTTGTCCATTTTATGCACTAGTGAATAATTCTCGTTCACTGTCTCTTCCATTTGACATAACAGCAACACAGAGACGGGAAAATGGGAAAGGATGGAGACAAGTGAACGCTTAATGCGAGAAAGTAAAAGATAAAAATTGGACATGGGAGAAAGGAAGAAGGGAGGCAGTGTGGAAGGAAGAAGGGCAACAGAAGGAAAAGAGAGGAAGGAAAGCAGAAAGAAAAGGAAGAAGAGCAGTGAGGGAAGGGAGGGAGGGAAGCAGTAGGGGAAAGAGGGATTCAGTGAAGGGAATGTAAGGAGCCAGTGAAGGGGATGAGAGGTAGGGAGACAGTTGGGGGGGGGGGGGGGGAAGGGAGGGAGACACGGGAAAGATAAAGGAAGAGATGATCAGGGGGGAAGAGAATGTGAAGAGCAAGATAAGACGTAATGAGGAACAGAGACGTGGGGAGGAGTAGTGAAAGCTGGCAGCAGAGGCTAGTGAGATGCAGAGCAAAGGGAAGACATAGCAAAGTGGAAGAGAGGCCTTGTGGGGGGGGGGGGGGGTAGAATGGGGAGACGAAATATTTTAGTGAGGAAGGCTTGGAATAAGAGTAGAAGAGGGGAAGGAATTGAGTGCCACGGTGGCTGCTGGGGAGGAGAGTGGAGTGCACACGGCTGCTGGGGAGAGTGGAGTGCCACGGTGGCTGATGGGGGAGAGTGGAGTGCCACGGTGGCTGCTGGGGAGAGTGGAGTGCCACGGTGGCTGCTGGGAGAGTGGAGTGCCACGGTGGCTGCTGGGGAGAGTGGAGTGCCACGGTGGCTGCTGGGGAGAGTGGAGTGCCACGGTGGCTGCTGGGGAGAGTGGAGTGCCACGGTGGCTGCTGGGGAGAGTGGAGTGCCACGGTGGCTGCTGGGGAGAGTGGAGTGCCACGGTGGCTTGGCTGCTGGGAGAGTGGAGTGCCACGGTGGCTGGGAGAGTGGAGTGCCACGGTGGCTGCTGGGGAGAGTGGAGTGCCACGGTGGCTGCTGGGGAGAGTGGAGTGCCACGGTGGCTGCTGGGAGAGTGGAGTGCCACGGTGGCTGCTGGGGAGAGTGGAGTGCCACGGTGGCTGCTGGGGAGAGTGGAGTGCCACGGTGGCTGCTGGAGAGTGGAGTGCCACGGTGGCTGGGGGGAGAGTGGAGTGCCACGGTGGCTGCGGGGAGAAGAGTGGGAGTGCCCGGTGGCGCTGGGGAGAGTGGAGTGCCACGGTGGGCTGCTGGGGGAGAGTGGAGTGCCACGGTGGCTGCTGGGGAGAGTGGAAGTGCCACGGTGGCTGTGGGGAATATCACTGGCGCTGGGGGGGGA